CCCCCCCCCCCCCCCCCCCGCCGCCCCCCTTCCCGCCGTGCGAAGCCCCCAGCCCCCAAACAACCAACCATAATATACACCGCAAGCAGGAAAAATATGCTGGTACACATGAACAGCCCCATCGCTTTCCCCTCCCTACTCCAACGACGGCTCACCTCGGCGTGTCCAACGTACGCCCCGTTGAAGGGCGCGAACGTCATCCCGTGGGAGGTCTCGATGATGGGCTCGGTCTTGCAGTACAGCCTGAACTCGCAGTCCTCGCAGTCGCGGGTCCTGAGCTGCTTGCAAGCCACCGTGAAGACGCAGCCGGTGCAGTTGCGGACGAACACCGAGTCCACGCAGGCGGCGATGAACACCCTGTGTTGCAGGAGAAGAACCAACCACGGTAAATACACGGCTAAAAGTTTAAAACCGGACGTAGGTTACGCAGGCAGTTTTGCGTGCTACGACGTGCAGACCAGCAGGGCTGAACCTGCATGACCTGTGCATTTGAAGCGTTGCTGGCAACTCGAGCAACCGAAAAAAAAATGCCGAAGGTGGATGAGGACTGCTAGTAGTGCTGTGGTAGATGCTTCGTGTTGCCGGCGAACGGCCGCTTGCTCGTGGTGATTTCAGCACGATGATAACACCTTTGTCTTTGGCGGTGTTCAGATTGTGCTGGGGTGTCAACCGCGCTTGTTGCAGGTGTTCAAATACTCAAGATCGTTTCAGACGTGGATACAATGATGAGAAAAACCATAGGATTGTTCGTAATTGGTGCCAAGAAGGGACACGCGCATACCCCAAAAGCTCGAAGCAAGACAGAGAGAGAAGAAAATAGGGATGTTTGTGTTTCACCTGCCACCCGACAAAGGTCGACCTTCAGAAACAGGAACGCAGAACACACGAAATTAGTAAACGCATTCAGGCACGCAAAAAAGTTGTGTACCCGCTGAGAGCGCTGCTTGACGAGGACTGCCGGGCACAGCACCGTTGATAGCACCTGATGTATCTCCCACGAAATATTATGTACGAAGAATTTCCATCTTCCCTCGACGGGGTTGGGGGCGTCTGTACCTGAACGACAGGCTTTCGGGGGACTTTGGGAGTGCGTTGCTGGAGCCACCGAGAGAGGCACCAACACGGGGTTCTATTGGTCTTGGTGGGATCTAGCGTTGAGAAGCCAAGGAGGAGGTATCTTGTCCTCCGTGTGGTGCCGGTGGCTGAGCCCAAATTTCTTTTACGCCATTTGTGCTTTTTCTATGAACTCATCTTCTTGTGAATATTCGATATGAGTGGGCCGGCACTGCACCCTCATGTATACCGTACATCGGCCCTTGTTATGCGCATGCAAGGATATAGGTTTGTGCGGTGGGTGAAAATTCAGCGGCCCGGAACCGGCGCGGCCGCGGCAATGTCGTCCCTCGACGTACGCCTGGAACCGTACAACACGGTTTGGCTATGTACAACCCCTATGGTGGTGTATTGCTACTTCTGAGAAACCTGCCGTGCACCAGGGGTACGGCGGCAGTGCAGCTTCAAGGACAGAAAAACAAGCTGGGGTGGACTAATGATCTTGACGTCCCGTTGTGCATGATAATATCGAGTACAGCCTGCTAGTCTGCGTGTGGCGTCTTGAGCGAGCCATGACATGCAGCGAGTACTCCTGATCATTAAATAATGTGTGGTCATGTGCCTGTGCCTTTAACATAAGCATCACCCCAATAGACTTATGCCCCTTTCATTGCCGTTAAAAACGGGGAGCGCATCTAGAGGTCATGATCCGGGGTCCCGCCACGAGGGGTCACGGGGGAGGTAAGGCTATTCTCGGGATTGAAGACTGAAACGGAGGGAGAGGAAGATAAATGCACGCGTCAAATAATATGTTCACTTTTGCTCATGTTCGATTTAGCTGCGTCCGTTAGTTGTTGCTGGTCCCGTCATCCTCTTTGTCTTCACTGCTCTCCTCACTATTTCTGGATAGTTCTCGTCATCGACACGTTTTCAACCTCTTTTCCGTTACACTTGAAATCCTACCCAATTGACATTGGTAGGATTTGGTCAACCATCTTCCCATGGCTGTCAAGGACGTCGTCACGGGTATATACTGAAGTGGAAACAATCGAGCCCGAAGTTAATAAAAAACGTTTCCAGCGTGTTTTTCGGGAACAGCCTATAGCCGAAGGAAGAGCGACTCATCGTCATCAACAATACCGTTCGTCTTCGCAGGCCAAAGGACTTGAGGAACAGCGGTTACGGTCGAACGATTGGGCGACTCCGCCAAGAACACAATACGTCGAAAAAGCGGCGGCGAGGAGGGTGGAGCTACGTACGGTTTGAACGTTCCCTCGTGGTGGTTATCCTTGCTGGCTGCTCATTCGTCGAGTGCAGGTCCTGGTGTTTGGGGGCGGCTGTGTTACTCTGCACAGTGGGCGGTGACGACATCTGTGACAATCGATTGAGTGGATAAGTATTGCACTCGAGGACTCCTCCCAATCCACCAGACGCAATGGTCGAGGAAACGGACCGTACATATTGTGGGTTTGGCCATCCCCCAGGTGTACGTGTGCGGTATCGAAGACGAGGAACGTGTTTGTACGTGTGTGTGGGTGTGTTTTGTTTTTCGTCCCATCGATCATTCCGCCTCAGTAACCGGGGATACACAGGACGGAGGAGGAAGGTACACGCAGGAGGATTTTTTTTTTTTGGCCATTTCGTCACGCCGTGCGTGCCTTCAGTTTTCAAACGCGGGAAGGACTTGGCAGTAGTAGTGCCTTCGGTCTTTTCTGTGGGTACTTCCGAGTTGCTAATAACCTTTTTCCCGGGAGAGTTCCGAACCCGCGACCTCGGACCTTACAAGGTCGCCAACTACACCACTCAAGCCACAGTTAGTTGTGTTACCGTGATCCACATTCGTGAACAACTATGGAGCGGTCTGCGTCCAATTTGGCGGTGCGGCGACTATGCAGATGAATCGATCTTATTGCGGAGAATCCCGCCATAGCCAGGATCCTAGAATCGAGCGAATACCGCCTTAGCAGGGCTTCCAAAGCAACAAGGCGGAAACTGCAGTGCTTGGGGGAAATGTGCGCGTTACGATCACAGTATAACCGTGCATATCCAGCGCAGCAGGATGTGCGATTGATTGCGGAGGGACGAACTGTGACGACGGCACGCAGAATTCAGATGCTACATGAACATTGTGACTGCTGTGCCGCAGGGTGGACGTGGAGAGAAGGAAAGGTAGAAAGGGTGCTACTAATGTAGTGTGGTGGCCTGCTATGCTCAGTTTTTTGTTTCTCGCCGTGCGCGAAACTCGCCACCCCCCCCATAAACGAAACAAGGGAGAAGGGATACTGTTGGGCTAGTCGCTGACAACCCATAAGAGAGCACCCCGGCATGGTACCGGGGCGCGACGAGACTGCCTAGGGCAGAGCCCAGTACCATACACGAGGTGCTGGTAGATTTCTAGGTTTTTTTTTTTTCTCTTTTCCCGGGTTCTTTTCGCACACAAAATATGCTGTAGGTGGGCTGGGCCGGGCGGCGGAAAACCTGATGACACTCCACTCCCGGTACGAGGGTATAGTAGATTCGTGAGCGATGTCATCCTTGTTGACTTTGTAGGAATAATGCGCCTGTGGTGTGTTGAATTGAGACTCATCATTCAGGTTGATTGGTGGCTTGTCCTCCAAAACTCAACAATAAGTAGCTACATTAAATTACGTCCGTACCCTAGCTTTGTCCTTTTTCGTCGTCTGGGAGCAATAAGAATAAACTCATGCATTGTGCTTGTCGTCCCTCTTACAGGAAGTGTCATTTTCGTATGTTCTGCCCAGTTCTGTGGAGACTCTGCTTGACTGAACCAGGAAGTTGAGAAACCTGTAGTTTTAACGAGTGGTGGGGCTTGTTGTGGGTCCTTTTTCTCTTCGCGCCTCTTTTTGGGTTAGCTTTTGGGAAAAATGGAAACTCTATTCTGCGGAGTCTAAAAGATCAGGAGGTACTGAATAGGCAGACCGGTGATGGAATGACGGCAACAACCACATCGAACAACAGCATCAACAAAAACAACAACAACCAGAAAAAACATCATCAACAACAACAACAACCACAACAACGCACGCCCTTGCAAGCAAAATAACGTACGACTTTTCGCTGAGGTTGGTTGCACTTTGTTCGAGTGGTACGTGCTGCTATGCATAATGTACTTGCTGAACCGCACCCGGGCCGAAACAATTTTTGGAGGTCTCGGAGAGTTCGTCTTACAGCACCGTCTCACTGAACAAGGCGGCGACCTCCTTTTATTCCGGGATACCAATACCCTGAATCGTACGGTCCCGCCGTAGTTGGGGGGATCTCTACTGCCTTTTATAGAGGGACCCCACCGCCTTATTGCGGGACCATTCGTGTTTTCAACCTTTGTCGGATCTTTCTTTCAAGTCCCCGTCTCTTTTGTGCTACTGCAAATGTCTATTGGGTGAGTTGTACAACTTGAGAGCGCATGGCTCGTACCTGCAATCAGAGAGCTCATCCACTTGGACTGCTTCTGAGCGATCCAGCAACGCTACCTCGCAGCGGCGGAGAGAGGTGAGGTCGAACGGCTGACCATCGATGTCACCGGGAAGCTTGCGCAAGATCTCGCCCTCCCTGGACGCAAGAGTCGACAAGATTGCCGAGCCACGGGGCAAGCGCGAACAGGGAGATCAAGGACCAACAAGGAGATTAAGAATGATCGACCTTGTTCAATCTATGTGGCGAGGCAACTTTGGGCGAGTGCGAGGCTCGAGGTGTGTGCGCGGCGGCCAGAGGTATCTTGCTGTTGTGGTAAACGGGTGCCGATCAAGACCCCGCACCCGGAAGTATCTCACCTGTCCTTAAAAGTGTACTGCGTGAGGAAGAGATACTTGCGATACTCGGCGCGATCGGTGAACTCAGTGCCGTCGGGTGCCCTCATGGGAGCAGCGACGGCTAGACCGCGGGCAGGAGAAGGGCCACCGGTGATAAAGGTGTAATAGCGGCTGTCGTACTGTTGTAAAAGCGCGCGAGCCGATCCACAGACAACATACACGCCGAAAGATCGGGTTGCAGCAGCCCACGCACGCAGAAGCTGGCACTGGTGCCTCAGCTCCTCTTCAGTGTTCACGCATCCTGTAGGTTCTGCCGTACGTCGTCTAGGGGCGGGGAGCTGACCTATGCGCGTTGTGGCGGTTTGTGGATGCAGGGCTGCCTCAATGCAACGCACACCTAGATATTGGGGGGTCCGCGAAATGTATCGACGGATCCGCACGTATGAGGCTATGAGGCTACCACCCAATCATGCCACGGAGCATCTAATGCCACCGCCGCCGCCCCTGCCAACAGCAAGCTGACCCGCACACGACACGCACCACTTGAGTTGATCTCTCTCCCTGTGGGCTGTCTCTCCCTCGTCGTCCCGACCACACAGCACAACAATGAACTTCTCCTTGAACCTCGTGGTGTTGGCGCTTGCCCTCTTGGCGGGATCGGCGTCCTCGTTTGTTCTCACCCCGAAGACAGCCCCTTTGGCATCATCCCCCACATCGTCCGCATCATGCAGCAAGACGGTGAGCGTACCACCGTCTCTGTCTTAGCCCAGACGGCAGCAGTAGAGAGACGACACCCAAGATGAGAATACATCCTGCAGGAGCATGTGCCTGTGTTTCTCGAGCTACCGACGGTTCCGCGATGGGCTAGTTCATGCGTAGAATACATGCACGCGATATGCCCCGCCTTGCTCCGAGGTGTGCGATGTGGCATGCACAGAGGGGCCTCGAGCCGCAGTTGCAAAAGGGCGTTTTGCCTCTTCGTGTGAAGCGGGGGTGCCGAACAGGATGCCTTGTCGACAAGGAGGCGGTAGAGAAAGAGGGAAACGATGAAGTTGGTTAGGTCCCATCGCGAACCCCATGTGGGTTTGTTGGCATGCCTGAAGTTGAACGTGTGGAGCAGCTGTGGTGAACCCCTTCAGGCCCAACCGCAACCTCAACCGCCAACCACAACATTGGGCGCGGGAGGGTGTTGCAGGGTTTTTGTTACTGTTAGCAAGACCGGTGTCTTCGATTGACCGATGGAAGGAAGTCTGCTCTGCATGCGGTCCTCAAACAACACAATTTTCGAGCATGTGTTGAAATCAGCGGATGCCAATCTCCAGAACTCAGAGTTTTACTAGGAAAAATGAAAACACGCACAGAGAGAAACTACCCGTTCGAGATATATCTACATTCGAACGTTGTGTTAGAAGTATGCATTGTTTGTATACATACAACGGGAGAACACAAACACATTTCCCCGTGCAGCACCACAGCAGCAGCCCGCGTGTTACTTTAATTCCGGAACCAATGAGCACCGACCGTCGTGGTAACCGGCAAAGGCGATGAAGAGACATCGGCAGTCTGAAGCGGAATAGAAACACCACCGCAGCAAAAGTCACTCGATTACACAAAAGAAACCGTTGTCTACATTGCCGGACACGGCAAAAGGTAGACATGGTGGCGCTTCGTGCGGGTTGGGTTGTGTGGTAGAGCTGCTTGATTGACTCTTGCGTCACGCGTGCAACCTGGGTGGTTCATTAGCGCGCCGCCAGTTAACCAATCATCGCCGCGCTCTTTGACAGTCCTTGCGGGCATCGATGGACGGGGAGAACCTCCTGCCGAACGCTGCGGAAATCATGGACGAGATGGCAGGAGAGGCCAAGTGAGTAGGGAGGTGTACGACAGGTCTGCTTAATTTGCTCTTATTATTGTAGACGTTGTGCGTTGTGTCGTCGTATGCCCGACAATAGAGTTATGCCACACAGAGAACCGGACAGAAATGTGACGTGCGCTGGACGAAGAGTTGGGCCAGCAGTCAGCAGAGGGATGGTTTTTGGGTCGGCGCAAGAAGTGCATCGACCACCCGCTTGCGAAGATTTGGTAAATAGATCACCTGCGTCGTCGACGTACCAAGCTAACTGTCACAAGTGTTAGACTGGCCAGCTTGTGACTGATGAGCTTTTTTGTTTGAGGAAACAGGGGGCTTCAGGTCCATTTGTGGACCAATCGCGCAGATGGACAAAACAAGAATCGTCCAGATCTTGCGGGATGCACTTCAGCTTCTACAGCACAGATGGCATAGGCAACGTGTTTCGGGTTTCCTTTCTGTGTGAATATCCACATGATACTGTAGTGTCGAAACTTTATCTTTCTGAAACCGCCCGTAGATCCGGTTCGCCAAGCCGACGGATTGAGTCCACACGATCATACTGTTCTGGCTTGGACACCTGCGTAGATAACGCTTCGTTGTTCGTTTGGTGTTCGCGATGCTTGTGCTCCCCACCTTGGACTTGACCATGTGTCATGTCCCGTTTCCCTGACAGCGCAGCGTAAGATATTGTCAGACGTGTATCACCACGAGACTATGCCATCACCATGTCGCCTTTCGTGCACAGTATATGTCTACGTCTCATCAAGCACGAGAAATGTTGACCCTCGTGAATGCTGGTGTTGGATGATGGTCCGCCGTGGTGTGCTGGGCAGACAATGAACTTGGTATTTTCCCATGGCCCCGCCTCCCGCGCCGCCGCCCGCCCCACCCGCCCGCTCGCACGACGTTGGACGAGAGCAGGGGCGTTATCGAAAGCCTTGTCAAGGAGAACAAGGTAATGCTCTTCATGAAGGGCAACAAGATGTTTCCGCAGTGCGGCTTCTCCAACAGCGCTGTTCAGGTATGTCGCGCTTTGTTTTCTTCGGGCTTTCTTGTAGGCGGACGCGAGGCCGCGACCTCCAGCAATTTGGAAACAGCAACATAGCAAAAGCTGTCGTCAACGCCCCTTGCAGCCACGCGTTCAGTCAGGACCGCGGTAGGGAAAGAGGGTTGTGGCATCGAGACAGGGCTATTTCTATGTCGCTTCCTTCACAGGGGGGGGTGTACTCATAGTCGTGCATGCCCTAGTCGTTAGACCATTGACCTCGCATCCCTACAAAGCCGGGACGGAGCACGCCGGGTTCTCACCGGACCAGGCTCTCACATCACCAAGCGCGAAGCGCCGTGAGGTATTTGGCGAGTCGCATGAAGGGTGAGCTGCATCCTGCTAAGGGTGTTCGGCATCTTGTGCTTACTTCCTTGCGTACGGATGACAGCTACGTATGACTTAATTTATTTTCTGGTGCTTTCACTTCCAGAGACAGTTGTAAGCACTGTGTAACTGCCTCGAGGATGCTTGACCATTTTAACACAACGTGGTGCGATCATCCCCCGTTGCGCGGAGTGAGGGTTCTCGACCCCGCACAACATGATCTACTCGACCACCATTATGGTTACCGCCAAAAAAAAAAACGGGGCAAAAAAAAAAAACGGTAACCAAGTTGCCGAGTTCACGAAGTGAATTGGCTTGTTTTACAACGTCGTTGCCAAGCGACGAAAACCCAATCCGGGGGGGCGGACATTAATTCGAAACCTTCACCTGCCTCGCCCTCCGGGTGGCCTTATTCCGCGTGGTTAACTGCCTATTCCACCGTGCCCGCTTCGCTGGGATGCGGAGCTCATGGTTGTATACACTGAGCCCGATTTGCATGAAACGAACCTGAGACCCTGAACAGCAGGTGCGCCTGTACAGTGTGGCAGACTCATGTAAATTGAGCGCCATCAGAATGTTGCCGGCAGTTTCATGAGGTGGAGCGATATTCTGTCTCGCGTTACAGAAGTGATACCCAATCAATGGCCAAGAGGCTGGGGCAAGCAATCGATTGAGCCCCCGCGCGCACACGGCTGTTGCCTACGCGCGCACGCACCGCAGGTACTCCGGGCGTGTGACGTAGAGTTCGAAACGTACGACGTGCTCACCAACCCTGGGGTGCGCGAGGCAGTCAAGGTAAGCCCATGGATGTATGCATGACTGGGAACCAATGGGACCCATCATCCAACTCCTCTCTCTCTCTCTCTCTCTCTCTCTCTCTCTCTCTCTCTCTCTCTCTCTCTCTCTCTCTCTCTCTCTCTCTCTCTCTCTCTCTCTGAAAGTTTGAAAACGAGAAGGCGACCGTTGACGTCAGTAGTGTTGCCGCTTTTGGTCATGTTGTTGTTTCGTGGCCTGGCGTGTTGCATCCACCACCACCGTTGTTTGATTTTTGCACCCGGTACACGTTCTGCTTGATAATCGTGTCGGGAGAAACGGCCGCGCACCTCTTAACCTAGGAGCTTCAGTGTCGCACCGTCGGATTACCTCTCCCCTTTCAACCTCCCCCACGTGTACCTCTTCGTGTTTCCATGCATTTTGTATTTTGTCGTATGTTGATGAAGTTCTTTCGTAAAGCTGCAGGAGCAACACCTCTCCCTGTGATGACTAATTCCCACCACCTTGTTTGGGAGTCATGCCCTACTGCTGTTCGTGATCACACGCCGAAATTCGAGTACCTTAGATACGTGTATCGTCAGAGCGGGGGATGTAACCGTTTCGACTTGGCAGCCATGCCAATTTTGATGTAGAAATGAGTGTCAATTCTAACAACAACAGCCACTGACACGCATCTACGACTCCGAAAACCGCAGGAGTTCTCCAGCTGGCCGACAATCCCGCAGCTGTACATCGACGGAGAGTTCACCGGGGGCGCGGACATCATGATCGAGTCTTTCCAGTCTGGAGAACTCAAGAAGACCCTCGAAGACGCAGGGTGCACGTTCGTACCATCAGAGTAAATTCGCTCTGCTGTCTATGATACGTCGCGTTTCGAAAGCGTTGTGATGAGAATATTCATTGTGTAGCCCAATCAGTTATTGCAAGGCGGCAGGGGAAACGAATGGAAAATTTGAACCCGTTTTGTACATGTCTTGAACTAGGTTGTACGGTGGGCCAGCTATCAACAATCGAGATTTAGGGGGTTTGGTTCTCCCTGTTTCGCAGAAGACACACATAGCGGCATGAAATATTTAGTGTAAAAACGTGTTGAAAAAGCATGTAGCGGGCGGGCGGTCATGACTATGATTTTGGTTTTGCCGGCCCGGCGAACTCAATTTGATGATGAGTAATGTGAGGACGCGCGAATTTTTGCGTTTGAACAACGGGATGCAGGAAGCTCCAAGTTGCGCAACTGAATACTCTCCCGAAGGTTATTGAAAATCGGGGCTGGTGCGTTTTTTTTAATGAGGCGTGATCACCATTGCCAGTGAAGACTTTGGGGGAAGCCGAATAATACAGACACCTGGGTGATGAAATTGCTTCGTGGCCCGTATTAAGCTCTGAAATTTTGAACCGGCCGTACGCGAGGTTGATACCCGGCCACACGTCGGAAGTCCAGCCACCGCTGTGGGCATTCACCCACGAGGCATGGCACTGGTGGTCTGGTTTTTTTCCAACCCTTTCTCCATCAGTCTTCGCTTTTTGGCCGATCGGTCGGAGATGATTGCCAGCACACCGCTCTCGGCCATGATTACATGGCGCGAGCTTCCTTGTGCCGGTCCGGTGAGGCAATGCGAGAGGGGGGGGGATCCAGGCAGCGAATGCAAGTTGACAACGCAGTGAATCTCTGTCGGCAGATCCACAACCGGCGTCTTGTTGGCGGTGACTGGGGAGGCGGGGAGAGAGCTTCCCCGTGGGGATAAGTGCATCACGAAACCACTCCCTCGAGAACCTAATGATGCCCGAGAACACCTTCTGTGGTCTCGAAAAGAAAAAAGGTGGGCACGCCGTCAGGAGTCTCCGTGCTAGGCGAAAACTGGGCAGGGACCAGCAGAGTCTGCTTGCTCCTCGTGCCACCCTTGGCCGCTCATGTACCAGCGGACTGTGCGGGGTGCCTACTAGGCAAAAGGCCTCGGGGACGCGTTTCTAGTTTTGTGGTCTACAGAGGCTGTAACAGCAGGAGCAAAATCATCAGCTCTCAAACAGCAGTGGGCGCTTCCGCCCGAAAACGATCCTGGCGCAAAGAACGCATGCCCCCACCAAACAGCGAATGGGTTTTTTTTTTGTCGTCACTTTATCTCAGGGCTCGTGGCATTTTTCTGCCGGGTACTACTGTACGTGCTCCAATTCATGGTCACACACAGGATACAAAAGAAAAGGTCCCGGCCAACAGCATCGTCACGGGGTGAGCTTGAGCGAAAGAAGGCACTGCTGTCGTGTGTTTTATCGTCGCTCCTCCCGAGCCAGTGTTACCAAGAACCCTGGTTGCCCTCACCAGGCCGCTCAGCATCGCCCGCCAAAAGAGTTGCCGTGAGAGCGAGAACCGGCGACCCTCAAAACCCGTCACAGATTACAATTCCACACACACGCTAAGTTGGTTCAGACCATGTACGAATACACCACGAAATATAGACCCACCGTCAGTTCGGGGCAATCCCCCCAGCGCGACGTGACTGTGATTTCCTCTCTGCTCACGAAATCCCAGACCATGATTTCCTCTCTGCTGATGAAATCCCGAGCCGTATTCGTCTCTTGGCGGCAACCGCGCGTGACCCTCCCTGCACCGGGGCAGGACGCGCACTAGCCTCTCGTCGAGAAACTTGAAACTCGATTCATTTGGGGAAAAATCAGCCGTGGCGCATACACCACGATAAATAGCGATCGTTCTGTTCGTTGGTGCTATCACCAGAATCTCCACCATCGTCGTCTGGGCGTCCCCCCCTCCTCCTCAACCGCCGGCTTCTGCGACGGGATGGTCTTCGACCCCCAACCTGGTGGTCGCTTGTTCTCGGCCAACGGGGCGATTGTTGTTGTCGTTGTCGTTGTCGCCGCCGGTGCCGTCTGAGAGGAGGACGTGCCGGCAGGCTTGGAGATGAAGCCGAACTCCTCGATGTCCTTGGTCGTGGCGTGCCGACGCTTGGCGCTGTAGTGGGACCCTTTCCCCTTGTTGAGGAGGTCTCGCATGCGCTCCTCCTTTTTAAGGCGCCGGGAGTGTACGCAAAGGTTTCAATCACGAAAATAAGTCGCATAATTGGGCTTGCTTGTTCGAAACGGTTCTGGGATCGGAGAGAAGTCAACCAACTCGCGGGGGAAAACAAGCGCAAAAAGCGACCATACCCTCTCTGCACAGGACCAACATCTGTCATGCGGCGGTTGCTTCGACGTCGTCGGCGTTCGAGTTGAACTCTAAACCGCGAAGGGTCAACTCCGAGGAGTTGGTGACGAGGGGAGTCACCCTCCTTGGAGTGAAATCGTCGGGTCATCAGGACCCCACCCCACGGCCTTCCAATACAAGCCGAAATCAAAAACCATAGTCTCGCCCTAGCCCAGCGCCGGCGAGACTAATGGTGTGATTCTTAAGGAGCAAGCATGTCTACATGTTGAATTGTTGTAGTCTGAGCAAGCAGCAGCGGCGCCGCCATCCGCGCCTGTGACGTTGAGGCCTAATAGTTTCTCACCTCTCTGGGGTCGTTGTTGTTGACCCGTTTGAAGAATTCCTTCATTCGGTCGTCCACTTCATGGCGGCCACGAACCACCTATCGCCCAAAAGAAACAGTGAACTCAAAATAGTCGCCGACTCTTGTGCCTTGTGCGTTTTCCTTCTTGACTGCTGAAATATATATGAAAAAAACAGAGATGCCTTCGTCGAATGACTTTGCTCTAGTCCCCTCCCGAATCCCTGATCTGTCGGTTCCCGGAACAACTTCCTACCCCACAGGAAAAACGCCCTGCAAGCAAGGCAATATTTGGCTTGTCACTCTACGTCGCTTTAACCATCCCATAAAATCGTTGCATCGTGTTGGAAAAATGGCCCCGGCAATAATGGATCCCATCACCCTAATCGCCTCGTCTGCGTGTCTGCATTATAGCGGGGTGGTGTGGGGAGAGGGGGGGGGGGGGGGGTGCGAACTCCTTCCGGCTTGCAAGTTCGGCTTCCGCGGTAACTGAACTCTTCACCGCGACCCGCGCAAAGTCTGCTTCTCAGCCAATTACCATGATCACGCACACCGTCATTGCTTTCGAGAAACACTCCCCCCCTGTCGCAACAAACGCTTCACTGCTCGAACTGTCCAAACAAATGCCTGCAGCTAGCGCCAGAACCTATGAACCTCTACTATTGGCCGAGGGTGGGGTTCTTACAGCAGTAGTTCCTAGTGATATGGTACAATGACCGCTATACAGGTTTTAGTGTAGAGCTTAACCGCGCTCACCCACGGTGCTCAAGTTCTTATATCTTGCATTCTTCTACAATGACCGCTCTATAGGTTTTAGTGTAGAGGTTCTTAACCGCGCTCACCAACGGTGCTCAAGTTCTTATATTTTGCATTTTTCGAGACTCAATTTCTTGGCTGCCCGGTCCGTAAGTGCGGGCGCTATAATAGCTGTATACGTGACTCCGCGCCAAAAGCGCGGCCCAACCACGAAAGCCCCCTCGCACAAACGCAGCAACCGAGTGGCCGGCCGGCCATGCGCGCGCCCCGAAGATTGGTGGTAACCCTAAGCCTACAAGCCAGCGGCATCCACGAAGCGAAAAACTCACGTCGGGAAACTCCTTGCCAATGTTGCTGTTGAGCTCGTCTTCGGAAGGCTTGTCCAAGGAAAAGTAGTACACGATGCCGCCGACGAGAAACAGCGATGCGGGCGACACCAATGCCGCGGGCACCCTGAATCGTGGCACTCTCGGCTCCGGCATCGTCCTCTCCCACCCGTCGTTCCTGCCGCCCCTACTCCCCCCCTCCGCCCAAAAAAACTCCGTGGGAGTTGCCGAACAGATGCGTCTGGCAACGCTGTGCGGCAGGTCTGCTGTTGGACGGAATCAATCAACCCTGTGTCGGTTGTCTTTGTATTTCCGCGGCGACGTGTTCACCTCTGCCTGGCTTTCTTCGTGTGGAAAAATAAGAAGTCGGGGCAGGGCACTTGGTCACAGGCTTGTTTGTGCTAGAAGAGGAGCGGCGGAGAGAGCTGCTGCGTGGTGGGGGTCATGCGAAACGGGGTATGTAGCTCTGGACCTGTCTACCGCGGGTGGGTTCGGTAACTGGCTCTTCTAACTTGGCCGTTCCATTGCCTACGGCATTGGATTACAACCGGTCTCCTTGAGAGCAGCAGTGTAGCACCAACTACAGTAGGATGCAAAAGACCATATGAAACTTAATACAGCAGACAGCTAGACTACACTGCTGTTGCGGTAGCGGTTGAGTGTTTTCGACGAGGGAGAAGGTGGAGCCGTTGCAAGCACTCATGATACCATTGAACCGGCACTCTTGTTGGGGCCCCTATTGCTGTATCAGTGAATAATTGGGCTGTCTGTGTGTCGGAATGTCGGTATGCTCAGTTGGCACAGCAGTGGATCAGGCAAACAACGCCAAGCCACTATCATAATAGTGTCGCTGGCAGCAACGTCGAAAACAAGCGAAAACCCCGCAACTGCATGTTATGCAAACTCACTGATGACAGACTCGACATGAACATCAGTAACAACGTCTTGTGCGCTTCTTCGCTTACAAGAAACATACCCAGCAGGGAGTTCGTGCAGTGCAGTAGTGCAGCACAAAAAACAAAGGAAAATATCCCCACCAATCACTGGCCAAGGTCGGGAATTCGGTTGGTAGGTAGTCAGAGCCGTTGCACTTAAGACCGAGCTTCGTCGGCTGAGTCACGAGGTCACGAGCACACTACACTCGTAGCGTGCAGATTTATGTACAGGTAGACCTGCTACGAGAGTACACAACAGCTGCCTTTCGTACAGAAAGTACACACAACGTGTGTTCAGCGAACGTTTGGATTTAATGCTAGAGAAGGAGCGGAACGACGCACAGAACTTTCTTCCCACATACCTCTTGCTCTTTCCAGCCCGAGTACCACACCCACCGCACTGCACACGTCGCGGCGAGTGCGGCGATCGGTGAGGGGCACAACAACTGGGAATTGCGGGAAAATTATGGTACCAGTGCACCGCATGCGAACTCCGGTCTGAAAAACCCCGATGCCTTGTTCTTCTGTGCGGCGTCGAACAAACCAACAGGCAGGCAGGCAGGCGCGAGAGGGAGAGAAAGGGAGCCAGGAGAAAGGCAACGCCACGTGTCCTGGAAGTGCTTGCAAAGGGATCACCGCCGAGTTGCGTCTGCTGCAGGCTGTAATAAAAGGGCACGAAAAGAGGCTGCTGCTGAAGAATTCTTGGCAGAGAGAGAGAGAGAGAGACAGGCACGAAGCTTGGAGGTGGGGTTTAGGAACAAAAGCCAGAAGAGGGCCCGCACGCCCTGACGGAGAGAGGGGAGAGCCATCACAGAAAGGGCGAACTGCCGGAGTCCAGCCGTGAGCTGTGTGGGGCATTGACTCCCGGCTCTGATACCGAGGTCAGTTTTTTTTATCCGCGTGTTTGTTTGTGTGAGGATCCCGGCAGCAGCGAGTGATTGCGTTGTTGTTGGGAACGGACTTTCAGGGTGCTGTGTGTAAGACCAGGCTGAGGCTCCCATGACGTTGTACTTAGCGAAGGGCGGTTGCCCTAAGGTGGAACGTCGGCAGCGCACATTAATACAGTCCCGAGTAGATGGTAACAGGCCGCCAACTCGTCGACCTTCATGTCTGTCCGTTTTCATGGCCCCAACCCCTAGAAACACGTGATGCTTACCAGGTCGTGGAACCGTCATGTGTGCTGCATGTAGGAGCGCTAACAAGGCAGCCGGTCCCTCGTGTGTGGTTAGAGGAAAGCCTTCCCGTAATCGCTTATTATTTCGTCGAAATCGGGGGCCCTACTGTAGTAAATACAGCATACAAGGCTCTGGACAATCAAAATACCCCAAGAGTTGTTTGGTGGCGGCACGATTTGTACACCTATCACCGCATCTTCGTAGATCGCATGCATATACTGTTCGCCATCGCGGTCGCCTCACGCGAGCGAGAATCAGGCCAACAAGCTGGAGATGAGACTCCCTCGCCCGGATGCTTAGCTTGACCGATATATCTCCGCGTCCAACGTTTTTACTCGCCGTATGTATATACTGCTGTAGCACTGCTGCGGTTTTTCACAAATTTGTTTTGTTCGCCCGACGAGACCCTGAGCGTCTCCGTTGCTTGCTTCTCTCGGACAAATTTGGGAGCACAAACATGCATGGAGAGGGAGAACCTGATGGGGCAATGTGTGCCAGTCATTGGTCGCCGACCGTGATTCTAGTATAGGCAGCAGATAGACCCGACGGGGCTTGCTGCTGCCTGCGTCACGTGCGAAATCCGAATAAAGCAGCCACATAGCGGTTTCGAGTGCTACAACAGACGCCCTCAGTAGTGCCGGTTGAAAAGTAGTGCCGACGGCCGGTATAATGCCGGCGTTTTGGGCGGGCACAGACTAATTACCAAGTCATTCAGTACTTTGAATAGTGCCGATCCCTCTGAATACTGCCAGTGTACTGGTCTGGTTCATACCGGCACTACTGAGGGGCCCTGACTGCGACGGAGATACATGACACATACGCTGGTGCCCGGAGAAGCGTATTCCTGCGCATCGAGCTATTATATCTAGTCCCCTTAATTAGTTCCGCCGCATGTGGATCGCCCGGTGTCTGCTTTGAGGCTTTCTCTTTTGCTTCGAAGACTGTAGATAGTACTGGGCATGCCCTGCGGAGATTTTGCGTGTGCAGGTCATGATTCTGTTCTTGCAGTCGCGAAGCTTGTTCGAACAAAACAGATTCCTTCTCAGATCGATGTTCTCTTCGTAGCCGGCGAAGCTTGAGGTGTATGGTATGAAACTGACCGATCCCTTCTCAATTTTTAAAACTGTTCAGGCTTGGTTTTTCAGACGAGTGTTGAGGGCACCTCGTTCTTGGCCTAGCTGTGAGAAATGCTCACCTTGCGCCCACACAATTTTGTAAGAACCATGAGGTCGACTGCGCCGTCAGCAGACGAGGAAAACGAACAGGATAATCGCTCTCGCGGCAAAGCAAATGCGGCAACCGTGCCTGAAGGAAGCTGGCAACAACGAAACAAAAGCAATGCGTTAGGTCTTCCTCCTTCCTGTTGCGTCGCCCCCGGCTGACTCAACACTGAACAGCCGAATCAATAAGTGGGATGACTACAACACCTCGCACTTCGACGCCAGATGAGAACCATCTCGTACAGTGATTCAGCCAGTACAACCACGAACCCCAGGTCTTCACGCCCTCTTCTATCCATTCGTGTCTATCCCTTGACGCTAAGCTTGCTTGGCAGTGCATGCCAGAGCCTGGCGGGCAAAGGAACAGCAGCACTCCTCCTTCCGCCTAGGTTTTGTAGGTGGTGCAAAAGGGGTCTTGTTCGTCTCAGTTTTTTGTGAAGACTTCGGCCATGAAGTTGACCATACCAAAAAGTGGCTGCGAGTGCGCTTCTTGTTTCGTCATTTTCTGCACGCATCCCGGGTCGCTTCGAGAGGGCGGTCACAACCTCCATCGACCTGAAAAGGATCCAACCGGTTTCACGGGGTCATCTTTTTGGCCGCTCTCAACCCCTCCGTCTCCTCTCTCTCTCTTTCTCTCCACGTGTGCAATCGCGCCGCAGAAGAGACCCAGGGCAAGCCAACCGCAAAGACACCATGGGCATCGTCCTGAGCCGAGTCTTCCAGGCCCTGTTCGGGTCGAAGGAAGTCCGCATCCTCATCCTCGGTCTGGACAACGCGGGAAAGACGACGATCCTGTACCGCCTGCAGAACGAGGCCGACGACAACATCCAGACCATCCCGACGATCGGCTTCAACGTCGAGACGCTACAGTACAAGAATATTAAGTTTCAGGTGTGTGTGTGTGTGTTTGTGAGGTATGCTAGGCCTTGCAGAGGCCCCTGCTGCTGGTTTTGCTGCTGCCTCTCTGCTTCATGGCGGGCAATGTTCTTCTCCTTGGTGGGCTTTTTTTCCTTGTTTTCCTCCCGTTTCGTGTCGTATCGTGTCTTTCTGTCTCTCTCGCTTCTACGGCACACGTTTGGTTTTGGGCGTTTCGAGTCGTTGTGTGTGACGGGGTTTAGCTGGTGAGTGTCGTTGCCCCCCTTCACACCGGCACCAAGTATCACAGAAGGGCACGCATGTTCTGGACCTAGGAGTGTCACGTCTTGTGTCTACCCCAAGCCGATGCCTGTCTTTTCCGAGTCTTGGCGTTATCAGAAGGACCCGACCTAACGCAACTGCTGTTGCACGGCTACAACAACCACCACAATGCACAACGATCAACGATTTCGCTTTTCTTCCATGGGGCACGGTAGCGCCGCCAGCTTGTCGAGGACGGTGTGGGATCTGGGTGGTACACAGGCACCCACCGGCCATGTCGCCCCCTGTCCGCACGACCACCCACCCCGAAACCTTGTTGCCCGGGCTCCTCTCGTACCCACCCCTGTCTTCTGCACGAATCACGGCGTAGGTGTGGGATCTGGGCGGACAAACAAGCATTCGGCCTTACTGGAGATGCTACTACCCAAACACCGACGCGATCGTGTTCGTTGTGGACAGCTCGGACCGAGAGCGGATGGCCATCGCGAAGCAGGAGCTCATGGCCATGCTAGAGGTGAGAAATAGCATCACTTCATGACAGGATAGTGTTGGGTACGTGCTCAGCTACGTGCATGTGAGTGTCTGTGTGCCTTTTGAGCACGTATTTGGATGTTTTACCCACCCTTTTTTCAGAAGCCGCACCGACTCCGAAAACAAATTGCCGCCACAGCCTTACGTTGCCATCCGGCCAAGTCCAAGAACCTCAGCAGTAGTTAGCGCCGCTACCCCGTCCCGATTGTGTGAATGTGTTATTTTGGACCCAGATATTGTTCTCAAGAGTATTCTGTTGCGTCTTTAGAGCCTGGCCGAGAGAGGGGAGGTGATGGTGGAAAGCCTTCCATTTTTGGGAGAGGAACGGTTGCGGACCTTGACGCGTGCGTGCGATATCTCTAGAATAGAGATGATGCCCTCATGCTGTCTCCTTGACACTGGTGGATGAGCTAGGAGCAGCGGGGCACGGGGGCGGGAAATCGATCGTGATCTATAGCAGTTGTGCGTGCTCAATTTTGCAGGCCGCTTCACCGAGTTAACCCCTGCTTGAACCGCTCCTTGAGTACGGGGGGGGGGGGCGTCGGATGGTACAACATTATGATCCGCGGTGGTACCCCTGGATCATCCCCTCCAAGATCCCGACTCTTGCCTTCTTAGTGTCTGAATCCCGTTGTGACGCATTGTATTGGGCCCATCTTCTTGTTTCGAACATGTTTGTGTGCCATGGAAGCCTTGTCTCCACGTTCGCCCACAACCCCGTAAAGGTCTCGGTGCTTCTCCTCGACCATTAACCGGGGGCTGACCATCTCCTGCCCGGTGTTCGGTGCGTTCTCGATCTTTGGCAGGAGGAGGAATTGAAGGACGCAATATTGTTGGTGTTTGCCAACAAGCAGGACCAGCCGGGATCCCTCACCTCGACGGAGGTACAGCTGTGCGCAGCCAATAATGAAGAACGAGAGAATTAACACTCTTTGAGGGCAGACCCTCGGCTCTCGATTGTCCTGATCAATTGGTCTTAGCCCAGGATGTCTTCTTACAAGACCAACATCTTAAAATTGTTCTTCAACTTTGTTTTATTTTCTGAGCATCAAGATCGTAACTTCCGCGTTCTGAAGCGGTGGCGCGTTCAGCAACAGCCCTTTGACCACATCGCGTCAATCTCGTAACGTATACCCCTTAATTCGCATGACACCGCTCTGGCGTGGATTAGGTGTCGGAAGCACTGGGGCTGCCAGACATTCGCAACCGGCAATGGTCGATCCAAGAGGCGTCGGCACTTAAGGGGAAGGGGCTGTTCGAGGGCTTTGACTGGTGAGCTTTTTGCAGTGGGTGCGGTCGGGCCTCTTTCCCTCGTTTGTTTTGTTTATTTATTTTTTGTTGTTGTCGTGGTGCTGCTGTAGTGGTGTCGTGGTCGGCCCTGCTAGGGAATGGGGTGCTGCTGTTTTTTGCTGTTGCTTATGTGTGGTTTCTGTTGTTGTTGCGGTTGTTCTGTCGGAGGTTTTAAGGCGCGTTTGTGAGTGTTGGTGGTTGTGGTGCTCTGGTGGTGGTGATGCGGCGGTTTTGTCCCTTGGCAACCCCCCGGCTCTCCGTGATGTCTCCAGTAACACGTGCAAGACCATTTCCTCGGATATGTCTGTTGCCTCCCGAGTTAATATGGCAGTTGACAGGGGTTGACAGGCTTGCGAAGGACGTCTGTTTGGGAAATATACTAGGTTTTTGTGTGGGCGGTCGTCCTTGACACGTCTGTCAAGCGGGAAAAACCCTGACAACTTCCACATTTGAAGCATATCAAGAACAAGTAAAGCCCACGGAGCGCTCCTGTCCTTTGCCTTGTAAAACACTCGCGTTCGCCCTCTCCAACCACAGACCCACACCCGACCCTTCCTCTTGCTTGTTTTTTTTATTGCGAAGGTTGGTAACTTGCATCAAGGGCGGAGAAGCCTGATTTGCCGCTACAGGCATCGTTGGTGGTACTGGGCTTTCTGTGGGCCGATTTAAAAGTGGAGGGGGCGCGGGGGCGAGAGTGCGACGGCAAGGACGTGGTCATCGTTCTTGGCAGAAGAATCTGAAGGCGTTTCCCTTAGTGCGGGGACGAGGGGGTGGGGGGAGTGCATCCGTTCTCAAGCGAGATGGCAGTTTGTTCGGGTGATCGTGCGAAAGGCGTGCTGCTGCTGCTACTGCTGCTGCTGCTGCCACTCCTGCCGCCATTGGGGTAGCTTGTAGTGATGGAACTGCTACGGGTTTTGTTGGGGTAGCTTCTAATGGTGAAGAGCCGCTGCTGCTGCTCTTGTTGGGGTGACTCTGCTGCTGCATGGTGATGCCGCGACCGCCACCCAAGTTGATTGGTTACTCAACTTGTGCTGCACAGAGAGAGAAGGAGTCGAACAGGCTGCCGCTGACCTCGTGCGGAGACAGGTGGCGGCAGAACACTGGGATCAACGAATATTTGCGCATAGCATCTGTGCGACGACGGCTGCTGAAGCGCTCCTCTTTTGTACTGGTATTATATTGGGAGAGCTATTACTACGATTTGTTTGTTGTTGTCGTTGGAACTCCCCTCCTTTCAGACCTGAGTCTCTGGCAGCTTTTGAGGGGGGCATCCCCTGAGAAGCTCGGTTTTTGGTTCGGAATCGTTGTGGCGCTTTTTCGTACCAAATGTACCATAGTGTTGGGGCTCACTTTTAGAACAGGAAGACGTGTGTCGTTACGGGTTGGGTGGATCCGGGGAGCGCGTCGGGGTGTGCGCGCGGTTGCCAAGGTTAGCGCTGTCGGCGTCTGGATGTGTTCACCTCCAATGCCCTCCATTAGAGAGGAGGCGTGTAACGGCGCGTAGGCACTGAAGCGCATCCGACGAAGATCGTGCCTTTGAATTTTTCTCGAGAAAGGTCGGTCGTACACGCTGTACACGCGCTGTTGTTGTATGGTGTGCGGGTTATGTGCCTGCCTACGATTTTTTTTTTTTTTATTGCGTTCTGCCCCTTCCAGGCTGCTCCTCTTCCACCAGTCGTGGCGGCTTGTGGACCTAAGATAGGTGCCACGAAGTTCATAGTCTGGGGGGGTTTGCTGAAGAAAGTGTGCAATTGTCGGGCGTGCCTGCTACGGTTTGGTGTGGGGGGGTGTACTACGAATGGGGCCAGAACGGCTGTGCCTGGTCTGTTGAATGCGCACGTTGACTGTGGGTGTGCCGACGGCGTTTTTCCGAAACGAAGCGTTTTTTCTTTTGTTAAGCGGTACGTTCATTTGGTGTTGAGAGTCGACACCCCCGCCGCTCGCTGTGCTTCACAAGGCCGAGTCGTGCGTGGGTGCTGATGGCACGAAGATTGAACGAAAACAATAATGTGCATCATTGTCCTCTTTTTGAGGCCCAGAGCCCGACCAACATCGATCTTGGAGTTGTCGACCTGTTGCTCAGTCTACGCAGAAAGACGGCAGGCAAGACGAATATGGCTGTCTTCACCTGCATAGGAGTACTAACTAGGAGCGCGTGCTACAGCTGCCTATATGAAGTTTGATTTTTTGAGCGCCTACCCAGTAGAGCCGGCCTGCTCGTAGGGTTAGGCTCCACGGCCTGGTTTCTTGCGAGCCGGCCGTTGTGTTCCTGCACGGCCCAACCTTTCATCTCTAGATGCGCCATATGTACCCATAACCCCTGCACATGTACTGTAGACCACACAGCTGGGAATGGATGAGTTTATCCGAACTCTGCCTTGTTGCTCTGCCTCGATACGGCGGTGTGGTGTCATCTTCCTTTTCCAGCGCCAGCTCGGCAAAGTACAACAAGCTTCGACAAGAACACTGCCAAGAGACCAGAGCACACGTTGTTGGTGACGGGTTGCGATGGACAACGCAAGCAAGTCAAGAAGTTTGAAACACACCAAAGTTAAAAATGGGGGCTCCGTACGATCAACTCTGCAACAACGGGGGGTGATGTGAACAGGGATGGTAAATGGTAAACGTCATCGCGAACCAAAGCCAGCGACTTGGGATTGAAGGAAAGCAGAAGGTGCGTGAGTGAAGATTGAGACCCGACGTAACACGCTGTGGCTCTGATCGACGTGGAGGTACGGAGTTCACACCAAAGCGGTACTCCTCTGGAAGACGTCCTCGTTTGGTCGCCCTCGTAATGCGCGTTATGATGTCAGCACGTTGTTGGGTCGCTTGGTGCCAATTAACTCAGCGATAAATTCGCCGTGTTCCCTTCGCCGGGCGCTGTTCGTACCTTCGCCGTAGGTGAGAAGCGTCAGGGCGCGCTTGGACAAGCAAAGGCTCGAGGACGCGGGAGGTGCGAACGACGCCGAGCAGTTACTGGAGCGCCTCCAGCTGGAAGGTTGTTGGATGAGGTTCGCACTAGACGAGGCCGGGCGCGTGAAGCGCATCGCTTGGGCGCTCGTCGAGCAGCAGAAGAATGCACTGCGGTACCATTCCGTCATCATCCAGGACAACACGTTCAACACGAACACGTGAGTTTTTAGCAGGGCTGCGCCCTTGAGATCTCTGCGACGTCCGGCCTGGTTTGAGCATTCCCGCTCGAAGTGAAAGCGTCGCCCGCCTACAGCATTCTGAATATCTTCCTCGTACCAC